CAAATAAATAACACAATCAACTGAGGGCAAAAACTTTAACTAAATTCAAGGTTATAGAAAAAAAATATTCATATGTTTTTACCAATAAAGTAAAGTCTTTGTTATGAATAGCAGACATCTTTAAGTCTTCAGGTGATACTGTACACTGAATTTTCGCGTAGCTGTTTTAACAGCTAAATCTCGTTTGCATAGCTAAATGTTACTTACAGCCACGTAGTAGGCTTAAATGAGCCCTGAAGTTACACATTACAACACAACAGACCGACTATGGATCATTTAATACCATCTCTGATGCCACACAGCATTCAGGCAAATACCAGGTGGAAAAGAAATAAGCACAATTATCTTTAAATCTTTAAATAAATGTATTTAACAATTAAATATATAAAATAATTATTATAAGTAAAACACTATAACGAAATATTAGTTAGTAAAAATTAACGACGTTTCCATGCGCCAAAGCCACCGAAACCATGTTTGCCGAAGCCACCAAAACCGGGTCCTCCGAAACCACCAAGGCCTCCCAAACCACCGCCATAGCCGCCACCGAAGCTGGATGCCGATGCAGATGCGGATGCGCTGGCAAAGCTGCCACCACCACCATAACCACCGTAGCCACCCTCCCAACCACTGCTAGGCCAAACAGGCTGGGGTACTGGCACTGGGACTGGCACTACTTTCGCAAAAGGTACAGGAACAGGTTGGGGTATCGATACTGGTACGGGCACAGGATGGGGTATTGAAACTGGGACAGCCACTGGAACAGGCGCCACTTGATAGTTATTTACAACGCTACTGGTGGCATAAGCACCACTATAACCACCGCCGAAACCACCACCGAAACCGCCGCCAAAGCCTTTAAACTTCTTGAAATGTGCCCTTGTGGGTGTGGCAAATAAGCCAAGGAACAACAATGCGGCAAAGCTGGAAATTTTCTGTAAAAGATAAAGGATAAATACATATGTATATAGACAATTTATTTTCTCTTCAATGATAGTGGAACACGAAGTTGTGCTTTTAATTTACTTTCGACAAGAATTATAATATTGAAAAATAATTTTTATCCTATCTGATCCACATCTTTATAACAGGGGCACATTCGGGGGCATTGAAAATATCTAAACCGCTCTTGACTATATTGTTTGTGCTCAGTTTGGAATTCCAGCATCCAGGAAAAGGCTTAGGGTACTTCATGAAATTCGGCGAACTCATAAGACTGTAACAACAGTATTCCTTCTCAACATTTTACCCACTTAATTAAGGAATATCATATGACCGAATCTTGTACAAAGTTGGAGTATACCGATGGTTCAACAGCGAACGATTTAAAGGAACAGATTTTTTGCTTGTGAGCAGTGAACATTTTTTTAGAAAATATTCTTTAAAATTATTACCGCTTTTAGTTAGAAGGACTACAAATCAAAACACTTCGTTTGCGGAGATTTAAGGTTCGGAACTGATGTATATATACAGTGAACCCAAAAAATTTTGTGCATATCTTCGACATTAAATTGTTTAAAATTCAATAAAAAGATTATAACCCCAAAATATTCAAACAAAATATCGAAAATCCTGATATTAGTTATATAGGAGCTAGGCCAAGTTTTCCTTCAATTTTATCTATTTGAGGAAGAAATATACACTGTTGTGAAGAAAACACGCTTCTTAATTTTCACTGAGATAACTCACTCAGATACTGTGCGGTACAAAATCATCCCGAAGTTCGAAAATCTTTATGCATATTATGTACATGGGGGCTAATGGAAGTATTGGTCCGATTCAATCCATTTTTAACACACAGACATACTATTGTTAGAGAAGTGCTATCGCTGAAATTTAGTTATATATCTCACACATTGACCGACATTTTCGATCAATAGTCAACTTTAGATACTGGGGTCCACATATTCGGTACCTGGGGGCTTGAACACTTTTGGTTGGATTTGAACACTTCTAAATAATCCAGTTAGCACAAGCACTCTTTGCCTTAAATAAATATCGCGTATATGTATAAAAATTTCTTGTAAATGCAATTAAAAATGATAATGATGCCAACACGCGAAAACTTGATAATTAAAATCTACCACAATTTTTCATTGAGATTTTTAAAGCGAACGTTCAACACACAACGAAAACATGTCATTTACACATTAAAGCTCAACTTACGAAATTTCTCATGATTAATTGAGTCACACACAAAACTACTTCACGAACCACCAAAATTATAACTAAACAGCATACAAAATGTGTATGGACTTTTATAAACGTTGAAGCTGATGCAGAAGCGCTTAACGGAGGGAAATTCCAAATAAGTTAAAGCTAAAAAAATTCCTGTTTCTTGAACAAAAACCAACTATCATGATGTCGGTGAATAGTGAACGGGCTTGAATAGGTCTCGTACAAAAGTAGAGATCAATGAATAAATATATATTTTCAAGGCATTTGCAAGTATTCAATTAAAAAGAAGATCGATAAAGATGCTTTAAAAGAAATATGGAAAGTTACATACATATTTTATAAACATATTAAATTATGTACGAGAGTTTTATGTATGTACACAAGTCTGCATATCATATATAATTTTACAAGCTTAATTGGCTCGCTAGCGAACTCACGTGTAGATCATTGAGATTATTGCAAATGATGGACCCGCTACGATCTGCCGCAGCGCTCATTTGCATACAATTTGGTCTTCATTGATTTGCTTCTAGGTATTGTTTATATATTTTTTATTATTATTTTTTTTTTTTATTCGAAAAAACGCACGAGTTTATTGCTCTGAGAGTTGACTGGTGGCATTAAGTTTTGACCAAAAGCGAAATACTCGAAAAAGCCAAATTAAAAGTTCAAATCGCGAGTTTAAGGTCAGTACTGCAGTTAGAATTAGAATGATATATTTATATCTATGCAAATTGAATAGTTTGCGAAAATTCACAAAACAAACGACTTGTACAACAAATTATACTTCCCGTCTTGTCAAGATTAGTTGGAAGTCGTTTTAGTTGCGTGGGCGTTACAAGATAGTAAAAGCAACTAAGATTTTAGTATATAAACTTAGCTGTTGCAACGCAATATGCATAAACAGTTATCTAACGGTGAGGTATTCATACAAAGCTTGATTTCGAGTTATAATTTACCAAAAACAAATAACGGGAAGATGAGATCCTTTGTAAGTAGCTAAATCATTATTCGCATAAACAGTGCTCAACAAAATTACTATAACCTAGATTTAGCCAAGAGAATTGTACAAAAAGCTCTACTACATCAATTTTCTCATTTTGTAAATTTCAAGATCCTCATAACGCTACTTTTGGCGCTCACCTGCGCTTTTACGCGTGCACAATTGAGTTTTCCTGGAACGCAACAGGCATTTGGTGGCAACAACCGTTACCCCAGAAATCCTGCACAACAATCAGCATACGGCATAAGTAATCCTAATAGTATTGACAGTCCTGGCAGCCGTTATCCAACTCAATCCGGCCTAGGTAATGCTGGTTATGGCGCTGGAAGTAACCGTTTACCTGGTCAAGCGGGTATTGGTGCATCGCCACCAAACGCAGCTAATGGCAATCCTAACAACCGCATATTGGGTCTACTCGGCGGTGGCGGAGGCGGCGGCGGCGGTCTCTTTAGCAATCTTATTGGCGCTTTAACCGGCCGTAATCGTCCGGGTGGTGCTGGTGGTTTTGGGGGTGGTGCTGGTGGTTTTGGCGGTGGCGCCTATCCATATCCAGTGCCGGTTCCATATCCCGGATATTCACCTTACGGTCCACCATCGCCTTATGGTGGTGCCTACGCCTATCCAGGCTTTGGCGGTGGTTATTATGGTTAAATGTTAATCATAAGCCACAATTTCGTTTGATTTGACTATTTGTTCTATTGTATAAATTAAAAGTATTAATATTTGTTATATTTTAGAATTTAATATTTTATTACTGTTATCTAATAAAAATAAATTGTTTTTGCAACTTAACTGAAATATTTGTGATTTTACTGTGTCGGTCTTTGTTAAAAATTATAAATAATTTTTCCCTGTTATAATAAATTTTTTTTAAACGTACCTAAACATTTTTTTAAATAAATTGAAAAAAATTACTGTTTTTTTAAATAAATTGAAAAAAAAAAACACTGACCTGGAGATGCGGGGCATCGATCCCCGTACCTCTCACATGCTAAGCGAGCGCTCTACCATCTGAGCTACATCCCCATATATTATTTTATTGTCCAATGCCATATTTTAATTAAGGCAATACAATCCAAATAACACACACAGTTTGGAAACCTAGGTAATGTTGAAGCAAATATGTTGAGCACCATTGAAATGTACATATTATATTTACATAAACGAATCAACCATAACCGTAAATATACATACATACATTTTAAGCAATAATTTTTTGGAATCGAAGAAGTAAATTTTGATTGAAATATATAATATATATATAATATATATATATTTATAAAAATATATTTGCAAAAAACCTAATTGTACTATTCTTTATTCAACAAAATTTTATTTTAAAATATTAGTGAGGAAGTGTGATTGATCGTACCCCAATATGAGAAAATAAAAGATTATGCAAGAGCATATTTATCAAAGAAAATCAAAGGCAGGTCCGCCGAATCTATGATTTCCTCTCTCCGAATTTCCGTTGGAAAATCAAACGTTTTCAAAATTGGGTGTAACTACTTTTGTGTCAGCTAGTGTACGACAATATCGGCGATACTTGAGCGGCACGTACGTTTCGTCATCACCCACCAAAACCAGTTTTATACACCTTCTTTCACACGATGATTCACATCCAACTCTACAGATTACTGACCTTGCACATGACTTTGTGTTTATGCATTTTTGCTTTTTTTTAAATACATATTTTTTATTCTTTTCCTACAAGTTGTTTACTTAAAAAATCTTCGTGTTGCTGTTAAGTATTAAATATACATATGTATATAAATAATATTTTACAATAAAAAATAAATACAACTTGATATTCCCAAAATCCATGCACGGGCTTGTACATCACTTAAATGACTGTAAAATACCCAGCGACTTGTACGGATAGTAGCCGTTGTAGTGACCGTTAGGCGGATAGGCAGACATGCCATTCATGCTGCCGCCTAAAGCCGCGCCTATACTCGTATGACGCCCATCCATGATCGGCTGATGAGTGCTGTAGGTTACGGGCACGAAGTTAGCATTGCTAGATATGCCGACTCCATATGTTCTTGCCATGCCAAAATTGTTGTAACCTTGCCAGGTATTAAGGGGTGCATAGTTAGCGTAAACGGAGTGCCCATTATATCCACCAAGAGTTGATGTTTGGTGGTTAGGCATTGTTGTAGGCACACTATGGAGATTGAACGGCTGATAACCATTGTTGTTGGAAGGTGGAAAACTGACATAGTTGTTGTGGTAAGAATATGCGATACTATTGTCTGCCTTGCCCATAGGTGCAATATTAGGATTGAACGGCTGATAACCGTTGTTGTTGTTGAGCGAAAAACTGAGATAGTTGCTGTGGTAAGGATAGGCGATACTATTGTCTGCTTTGCCCATACTGTAGGGAGGCTGCGTGAAATCACCTATATAAACACGATTGTCTGCTTCCATGCGTTCTGCATTTTGTCCGTGGATGTAGGGTAATGTTGTGAGCAAAAGCTAAAAAATTGAAAATTATTTGTTATTGTATACGTGAATTTATTATTTGTTTCGCTTTTTGAAAAACTCACCACAATTATTTGTAGCATTTTTACGGCGAAGCTAAATTTTTAATTTGGGAAAAATTTTTTTTAAAAAAGTTGTGATTTATTTTTAGTTTTTGGATTATATTGAGTTTTCATAAGTTTTATATTTTCTTTAAACTTTATATATTATTTATATGATTTTATTATTAAATTTTTTTACGTTAACCCTCCATTTTTAAATTAAAAAAATTAGAAATAAACGATACCGTTATTTATAGTAACAATATCTTTTCTAAACCATTTTAATGAAAGCACTTGTACGACCAAATATAATTTAATCTTTTCATGTCAGCAATTAAATGCATAATAATTTTTCTTGCAGACAAATCCATACTTTTATAGCGATAATGAAAATTTTTTAAACATATTTCCATTTGATTGACTTTGGGGCTTGCATGGAGCAAAAATAACTGAATTTCTTTAAATTTGTATAAAATCTCCCTTGTTAGTAAATCGTCTTAACAACAGGCAAAATATATGTAGTGTGTGTCTATATTAATTATTTGCAATTACTAGTCAGTATTTTACTTGCGCCACATTTTTACATAATTTTTTAATTTCACATAACATTGAAGACATTCACTGTCTTTCTCATGCAATATTTTCTTTATCTTGAGTCTGTTTTTATTTTGTTACACATCGTTAGTTATTAGTTTAACATATTAAGTCATACAGCTGACTTATTTGTACAAATACTAAATTTAGATGACATACGAATAAGCAATAAGGTAAATGATCGATAAGTTTATAGGCAAAAAATTGTAAGACTTTTTGATTTAAATTTCATTGAAATATTTTTTTCTAGGGTTTTGTGACTGTCAGTGACATCTGTGCCAAATGTCACATCAAAATAATCATTAGTGTTTAGTATACGGTTGTATTTCTGAAGTACTTAAAGTGCATTCGGCGATTTTTGCGATGAATGAAATCATTCAACAAAGGAATTCCATTAAATTTCGTGTGCGTAACGTTCAGAATATTTGAAATTGCTTTCGGTGATCATTGCTTGTTGCGCGCAACAGTTTTTGATTGGTAAAAATTATACAAAGAGGTTCGAGAACGCGTTGACGATGAATCACATCCAGGACAGGCATCAACATCAACTGATGATCAATACGTCAATGAAATAAAGTAATTGATGCTGGAGGATTGATGACTAACAGTCAGAGATCTTATCGGCATCGTTGGTATATCGGAAGGATCAGCGAAAACCAGTTTGAAAGATAATTTGGGCCTAAGAAAAGTGAAAACACGATTGGTTCCAAAATCACTTAACCTTTTCAAGAAAAAGCGTTGATGTCATAAAACGAATTATTACTGACGATGAGTCTTGGATCTATGCTTACAGAAACAGATTATCAATCGTGCGAATATCGTGGCAAAGGTAAGCAGAAGCCGAAAAACAACATCAAAGCAGGACAAAAATCAAGGTTATGTTAACATGTTTTTATGATTATCGAGGTGTGGCTAAATTGTCAACAATTAATACTGTTTGATTGTTATACTTCATTTGCTCGAAGCTATTCATAAGAAGACGCCGGACGACTCTTGGTTTTAGTCAAGATAAAGCACCGTCGCATACTGCATTGATTCTTCGTCAGTTTTTCGTCAAAATTTCAACCATTATCGTGCCACAACAACCTTATTCGCCTGATTTACCTCCGGGTGACTTCTGGCTATTCAGCAACTGCAAAGACGGCTCCGGGGAAACCGTTTTGAATCAATCGAACACATTAAACGTGAATCACAACACATATTGAACGGACGACATAGATTTTGAGATATATTATAAATTAAGAACTTTAAAATTATGAACAAAGTAATACTATTTTTGCACATATTCCATTTGGACTTATAACTTAGTAACAATAAATAAACATTTATTGATATCTGTCTTATTGTTCTAACTGAATCCATTTATGTATGTGTCTATTTTCACATTCTAATATTTCCACAATTTTTTGTGTGTTTATTGTTTGTAATTTCTGCAATATAATTTTCATGTTTCCGCTTTATTTTCAGTTGTTCGCAAATTTACGCTGAAAAGGCGTTGAACTTTTATTTATATCTAATTAAGATGAGGTCGTTCAATTTATTAATAATGAAAAAAATATAAGCAATATAAAATAGTTGCCGAAGATGAAGAACATTATTTGCTCCAGAGTTATGTGTGACGGCATGTATATATCTCGTTTAACTAATATGTAGTACAAGTGGGCTGAAAAGGTAGCACTGGAGATATACGACTGCAACGACAACTATTATCTTCTTATATGGGTTCCTTAGAAAAAAAAATTTCGAGTTCGTATATAGGCGTAATTGAACCTCTACCACAACCATAAATCGCCATTAACCGAAGACATAAATATAAATTGGCATATGTAAGCACTAAATTAAGATATAAAACTGATATTTTGACAGAGGATCGGAGTAGCAAGATGGTCCCGTCCTTTAACAAAGTTAATTTACATATCTCCTAAACCATTTAAGCCACAACAACTAAATTTACTCGGTACAAATCTTCTAAGAACTTCTACAGATAATTTAAAAATGGATGACACTCCCTATATAACGGTACTGCTAAAAAGTACTAAAAGCGCGAGATATCTATACCCAAATACTCCAGAGACATTAGATTTTACCACCGATATGGTATGAGGGAGGTTTATAGAGCCGGCGTGGGCACCGCCCACTTAATGGGGAAATCCCATATCTCGGGACCCGACCAACCGATTTCGACAAAACTGCTTAAGCCCCGAGGTACCAAACATTTAGGCTCCAGTACCTACATACAACTGAAATGCATATAGAGATTGAAGTGATCTTGCAGCTTTTAGGTGCTCCTTTCAGCCATTATCTCTCATTGTCACTTTTGAGCGAGCATTGCTGAGACCTTATGGTCAGCAAAAAGTCACGGTGAGTTGGTGAATAGGGAGGATGCGAAAACAATTTGAAGTCCAATTCTAAATGTTGTTGTGTAATGGTGCATCACTAATTCCAGGCACAAAATTTGCACAGCGCGTTGTTGAGTTTGTGTGTTCAATCCAATCTTTTGATATCCTTAGAGACTCAGTTACATCGATTTATTATATTTTACTATCATCCAAAATTCTTTTTCGCATTCGGGGCCACTTTCAGGGTTTTTCTCATATGACTTTTAACTTACTAACGCCTGGTAACACACATCAAAATCAAAACTCCAAACAAGTCGTGCTGTGTATTAAACTAGTATTTGATAATTTGAAACAGTGTTAGAGTTATGCTCTCTATTTTAATGTCACATAAAGTATGCATACAGTTATTTGAATTTGAATTTTTGGAAAATCCAAGCATTAATTTTCTCAGCTAAACATAGATGAATACGCATGAAGTAAACCATAATCAAAAAGTGTTAACGGGAATTTCATATTATTCGAAATAATATTTTTGGAAATCCCATGAATTTAAATACATAACGACCTTCTGGTAAATATTGACACCGAACTCATTTTTAAATTCAACCGTCAAACATTTATTATCACATGAGAAAACACTTTATTATATGCTTCCGTGTATGTACCTACATATATGTATGTATGTGTGCATGTATTAAGGTAGGAAATATTAAATTAACAACTGAGGATGGATGAGTTTCGCAGAACCGATTATACAAATGTGGTTGTATGCGGAGTTACTACAGTATTCCCCCGTTATTTGAGTCTTGGTATTGATTTTAGAAGCTATTTATATTTGAGATGATTTTTCGTTTGGGTCAAAAGGCGTGTGTTAACGATTTGCTTCTTGGCGAGGATTGTCAATGTTGACGAACAAGCGGCTGGTCAATTGTCTCCTAACACCTGGAGAGTCAGGACAAACATTTTCGCGTGACGTGTTTCTGTGAGGGGTGCTAGCCGAAAATGCAGCGTTGGTTAGAGCAGAGGTACGCTATTAAATTCTGTGTGAAAAACGGGGTAAATCCGCGACAGTGACTTGTGATGTGATTAAGCAGATGTTGCTTTAGCAAGAAGTGGTGTGTTTCGGTGGCACCAGACCTTTTTGGAGGGCCGAGAAGAGGTCGCTGATGAAGATCGGAAGAATGAGCAAATCCAAAGTTAAAACGATGCTCATTGTCTTTTTTGACATCAAAGGCATCGTCCACCATGAATTTGTGCCTTCTAGACAAACCGTCAATGCCAAGTTTTACGTGGATGTCCTCAAGAGACGAAAGGTCAAGATATCGCAGCCGATTGGAAGTTGCACCACGAAAACGCCCCGGTACACCCGCCTTTCATGAGAACAGCAACCTAACCATGGCCGTTATCCCAACGCTTCCGAAGCCGACCTACAGTCCAGATGTGGCCGCCCGGACATTTTTTGTTTTCTTGATTGAAAAGGCCGATGAAAGACAAGAAGCTTGAGACGACAGAGGGATCCAAGCAGCTTGCACGCTCTCAAGGCTATTCCGGAGGATGTCTTCCGTGACGCCTGCAATGCTTGGGAATCGCGCTGGCAGCGCGGCATCGACACTGAAGGAGCCTATTTTTGACAAAGAATAATCACAACTATATTATGCTACGTTGCGCTTAGGCTTAAAAACCAACCATTCCAATTAACTATTAATTTACAGATTGGCGAATAATGCTGAAAGTGAAAATCGCGCGGAGAGGAAGAGTCGAAGAGCAGCAGTCGTCATCGATGGAAGGTGGCCGTCTCACAGCTAAGAAGGCGAAAGGCCAGGCAAAAGGTTAATACACTTTGCACAACAAACACTTTTTGTCAATAAATTTGAATTTAGTTGAGATTAAACGCTAATATGACTTAGTTTGCCGCAATGTTAGTGCTAGAGTGAGTGATGCTAATTTTGTTTGGGTTTCTGTGACATGCTCTAGAGCACACAATTTTTAATATTTTTCTTACGCTTGACTGCGCAACAAAGCGTTGCATGCGCTGCGCTTCATTCTCACAAAGTCGCGATGAGAATCCAAAATTCCGAAATTGGGTTTTCTGATTATCGCCACCACCACGAACATATTCGTATGTACTATGTACTGTTTTTAGTTATTTGTTTTTGTTAATGCTGTGCTGGCGACTGATGTTATTGTGCTCTTGATCTTGACGCTGGACGCTTCCGTCAATGACAAAATACCCGGCCATATACAGGTACATATGTATGTATGTGTGTAACGTTAACTTTTGTATTTTTCGTCATCAACATGTTTCGCGGTTCTGTAATTTCGCCGTCTAAAGTCGATAGTAGTACGCATGCGTGCGCGCATCCATGTTGCTAAAGTATAAAAAGCAATGTGCGTACTTTAAGTGCAACTTAGTGCGCAACTAACTGAACTGAGCAACTCATTACTAGAAGTTAGCAAGGAACATCAAGGAATTCAAATAGAAAATGGCTAGTTATGTAAGTGTTAAAAAAGTGTTTTGTTTTTTATTAAAGGACTCTTTGAAAACTAACTATAAAACCATCAATTCTCTTGTTTTCCTAATGTTCAGCTGCTGAGACTCGCAATCGCCTGCACAATAATCGCCGTGTTGTATGCTGCGCCTGCGCCGAAACCTGCTGGCGCTCAAGCGCGCACTTTCGGTGGCTTGGGTCTGGGTGCCGCGTTTGGTTTGGGCGGCTTTGGTGGTTATGGTGGTTATGGTGGTTATGGTGGATACGGTGGCTACCCAGGCTACTACGGCGGCTATCCAGGCGGTTATGGTGGCTATTATGGTCGACCAGGTTTCGGCGGTGGCTATTATCCCGGCTATGGTGGCGGTTATGGCGGTATTGGCAATTATGGTGGCTCCTACAGCCAATCGCAATCACAGAGTCATTCACATAGTCAAAGTGGTTACTACAATGGTGGCTATGGTGGTTTCGGAAATGGTTTCTTTGGTTAACACACTTAAGTTCTTAGTGCTAATTAATAAGTTTAGTGATAGGTAATTTCAGATTCGAATTTTTGTACAAAAAGTAAATAAATTATGTGTGTATGCATAATTATGACGTTTTCATCTGGAATATGAGACGAGTTAAAATTCGAGCGACTGTCGAGGTTCGGATGGCCCCGTCTGTCCGTGGATATTCATGCTATAATAACCAAATTCACTCAGAATGAATATTTTGGCATCTTTAAGCAGCCTAAAAGTGAAACCACATATTTTGGGACCATATCGACCTAATTTGGTACATAATATTATCTTGACAATCGTACATACCAATTCATTTTCTCTTTAGGTATCAGGAAACAACCAATGTATCCGAATAAAACTTTGCACGAATAGTGCTTTTGAGGTTTACAGGTCGAAACAAAACTATTCAAGCCCCCAAATAACGAATAAGCGGACCCCAGTTTCTATTGCGAATTTTTTCACAAAAAATATCGGTCAATATTTCAGATATACATAAGTATTATTGAAATGTGAAAAAATATTCCTTGAATTTGAACTTTGCAAGTTGCGAGAGTATAAAATGTTCGGTTAAACCCAAGCTTAGCTCTTTTTTACTTGTTTCATATGTGTTGATTCATTTACGTTCTCTGGCTAAAGCTTTAATGTGGTTTTTAAATTCAACAAATTTCAACATAGTGGTAAATTTTGCTATCTAAAAGCTATATTTCAACAGAGAACGTATAATACGTTCTCTGATTTCAATAGATAAAAAAAAAAGCTTGCAAAAGCTGTTCAAATCAAGCATATCAAAATGCATCTGAAATTTTATTGCACTCTATTATCTTTCAAACTACTTTGAAAATTATTATCAGGTCGAAAATCCTTTCAAGAAATTTTCGATTGTTTTTCGCTTTACTAGGTTCACAGTTATTTTCATATACAAGGTCATCCATTTCGAAGTTCCTTACTTATTTAAAGAAAAAAAATAACCCCGCTTTGCACGAGATCACGAACTGCAATTTCAGGCATCAAATAATCAATAACCTTAGCGCGCTAAGGGTCATCATTGACGGTTACGTTCTCACCGGCATAATTTTTGAAGAAATATGTACCGTTGATTCCACCGGCCCACAAACTACACCAAACCGTTATTTTTGATGAAATGGCAGTTCTTGAATTCTTTACCGCAATTCGTTCCAAATGCGCTAATTTTGCTAGTTTTATACCCATTGAACCAGAAATTAGCCTCATCGCTGAGCAAAATTTGGCTCGAATACATCGGATCTTCTTGGAAATTTTCAAAAGTCTATAGAGTGAAGTGATGTCGCTTAGGAAGGTCAAGCGGCTTCAGCTCTTGTACAATCTTTTTTTTGTACAATTTAAGATCTCGACGTAAAATGCGCAAAGTCGTTCGACACAGCAGTCCGAGTTGCTGCGAATAGCGCCGGGTTGACTCTCCGCGTGGTTTATTTTATCCAATAATAAATGCTCTGTCTCAAGATGGGTAATGGTGTTGCGATTACAACGGTTAGTAGGTCGATTATGTTGACCATAAGTTGAGCGAAGAGGGCGAAGTCGTATTACAGTTGAACGATTTGTGAATGTTGTTCAAACGTAAGTATTTCCATGATGAAATGCATTCATTACAGCTTGACACGATTAAAGTGTGATCTGTGAAGAAAGGGCTATTGAATAAAATATATCCATTGAATCACTCGTTGATACATTGACTTCTATTCTGTCCATCAAATAGAAGAGTCTATCGGAAGTTAGTTAAAAGCTTAGCTATTTGAAAGCATCTACCTCTTATAGCTCTATTGTTTTCAAAAAATGTCGGATGGACTAATGAATTAATGAAGTCAAAGCTCAATTTGCCAGAAAGACCAACATTTCGACAGTCTGCCTATAATTTCCATCCTTCTCTCTCAGTAAAAAATACGCACGTGTCGATAGCAACCACAAATGATAAACAATTTTTTTTTTTTTATTTATACATACAAATTTTCTTTGAGGAACATAGTAAACACCATACTTCTAAGATTAAAAGTAAATATATGTAAAACTAAAAATTATATAGTATATTTGTATATAACTTCATTAGCGCATTTGGAAACATTTGAAGGTTTCTTATTTTCCATAACTTAGCGACCTATAACCCGGGTATACCGGCTGAACATTGCCAGTTAGTTGCTGTATGATACCATTAACAGTGGTGGCTACACCGCCTACCAATTGGGCAGGTGTTACGGGCGCCTGAAATGGAAGAACATAGGTCACATTTCTGTACAGAGAAATTGCATATTAACGAACTTACCGCACCCGCTGAATCATAGTAAACCCTGTTAGGTCTTCTCACCGGCGGTGGTCTGGCTGCGACAGGAGTATAGGCAGGATCAACGTCCGGATCACTAGCCAAATCGTTAGCACCACTCGCGGTGGTATCGGCTTGAGGTCTGAGCAGGGATGGACGCGCTGTCGCCGCTAAAGCATTCTGCAATATGCCAGGAGCAAATAGCTGTAAGAAATTATTCAATCTATTGGGTGGCGCATAGGCAGCAGCAATCGGATCGGAGAGAAGACCGCCGCCGCCAAAACCACCAGCGCCGGCAAAAGCGCTAGCCAAACCACCAACGCCGCCCAAGCCGCCACCAAGTCCACCGCAACCAACACCACTGTCACCATATATAGGCGGAGGATAACCACCTCCATTATAAATATTATAGACATTCAAATCCCAAAGCAAACGCCCTTGCTCCGCTGGTGGCGGTGTCACTTCAGCGCCCTGTGCGTCGCGGCCAAATGGAAAGCAGCGACGTAGCTTCTTACGCTTCAAATGCGACAAAGTTTTTGTGTTCTCCTCATCGGCTTCTTGATTTCGAAGACCAGCAAATTTTGCATTCTCTTCGTCAGCTTTGCTAATGCGCGGTTTGCTGTTGGCGCTTGCCTCCTGCTGCTTATTTTTTCTTGCGCTGGATGCGCTGTTCGTAGCGCGCTTACTATCGAATGCGTAAGCATCGTATCTGTTGTATTTACTGTTATACGGATCATTGCTGTCGCTAGCATAAAGGCTGGTACTTGTGCTGCCGTTATTATCGTTGTTGCTAGCGCTTATAGCGACTGCGGAGATGGGCAAACGTGAGGAGGAATAGTAGCGCTGTGTTTTGCTGCTCGTGCCGCTGTCACCACGGCTGCTGGTGCCGCTGTCACCACGGCTGCTGGTACTGCTGCTGATGCTGTTGTAAATGCCTTTGTAGCTGTCGGCCAACGCGCGCAGGCGTCGTTGTCGCAACGCGTCATAATACTCGCGGTTATAGTCCCGATAAGGAGAATAACCGGCGCGCCGATAAGGGCTCGCGCGATATGGTGCTGAGCCCGTTGAATAAGAGTTTGAGGCATAATAGCTTTGGGGCGCGCAGGCGCATAGCACCACCAACGTGAGTAAAACGAGCGCAAGCGCGAATATAAACCGCTGTAATAAGAACATTTTTAGGAACACACACTTTGTACTGACATTTTTCAAGAGCCCCTTTTGACTTTCGAGTTCTTTCGGTTGTTCGTATTTAAATTTCACTTTAAATTCGTTAGTCCCTTTGCACACTTATTATCCTTGTTGCCTAGTTGAAAATAGTTTTTTTTTATCACATCGATTGTTTTTTGTTGTATTTCATGTGTTTTGTAGCAACACACGAAGTGTTCGCGTCTCGTTTGCAATTTGCACTAAGCGCCCACCCGCTGCAACACTCTAACTTATCTAAAAAAGTTTACTGCGCAGACGCGTAGGATTTCCCAAACAAACCCACACAGACACCGTTTAATTTTTTTGAATAAAAGCCGTTCTGGCCATAATCGGTGGCGCACAGTTATTGCAAAATGCCCTTTTTTGCAGACGCGAACAGCAACGAGCCAACAACAACAGTTTAGTTTGCAATTTTTAATCGCCAAATTTTTACTTTGTTTGTGCTTTTGTAATATGCTAATTTCAGCCCATTTGCTTGCTGAAGTGAGTAGCAGCGCGCACCCACGCATCGCCCCCAGACACACAGCGGTTTGGCGGCTGCTCATCTGCGCATGCGCAACAGCTCCAACCTGCCTCACTTTGCAAGCGCGTAATGCGTTGCCGCCGCACGAAACATTTGTGGAAGTCGCTTTAACGTGCTATTGTTTGCTGTAACAACTTTTTGGCAACACATTTTTGTTTTTTATCTATTTCCCGCCTGTGCATTGACCTGCATCCGATTGTTTTTGTTTTTTTTTTTTCTAATTTTCCATTTCGCCTATTTTGTCGTAGTCTAAATTGGTTTTTGTTTGCTTCTTCAACTCTGTCGCTCTGTTTTTGGACAGCCATTCACTCCAGCAATCGTAAAAACCAGCTGTGTAAATTTGGTGATATTTTCGCTTTACTGAAATCAGGTCAAGATCGCTCGTATAAAATTTAAAAATGATAAAGCAGAACTGTGATTATGGCGGCTACTAACACTGTGCGCCCTACGATCACTCATATTTCATATATTTTATGATGTGAATAAGCTTCATCTGTAGTTTTTCAATGCTTTTTAAATGCCGCCGAATATTTAGCTCGTCCCAAAAAATGTCGTCACTTCCGAAACCCACTACTAAAGTCATGAAAAACTCTTGTGGAAACGACAGATGAAGATGTGAATATGCAGTATTAATCATGGATCGGTGTAAGACAATCTTGGATCCAGAAAAATTAACGAAGTGGTTTTATCCAAAGTTGGGAACCACTTTCGAACTTTCAGATTACTTTATACCACATAGAAACGCATGCTCATTTTATTTTCGAATTAATAATTTTTTTGTAGCATTTATATCGTGCATTTTTATTATCTTTTTATTCCACCAAGACACGAAAAGTGAAATTTCGTTAAAAGCCATAAGTTCAAAGTTTCGAAAACGCAACAAGGAACATTGAAATCGTTGTTGTTTACATTTAGATATTACAAACATAAGACATACATACATATGAATGTTGAAATCAACAAAATTGTTAACAATTTTCATTTTACAAATAAAATAGGTATTTTAAATAGCTGCAGCATCAAACAGGCATTTTTTTTTTGCGCAAACCTTCTTATTCTAGTATACTTATCCAGATTTTAAACTTTTTCTTATTTGCGTACATAATTTCGAAAGATCTACTAAGAGCTTATAAAAAATTGTTGCAGAAAATAGTGCATAAAAACATAAACAGCTAAGTAAAAATGTATATCAATGTGTCATTTGCTTACAAAACTTAAAAAAAATATATATATTTTAGCTAATTGCACATAAAAGCGGGAAATATTAAATATCAGATATGTATCTATGTACAAAAATAAATTCTAAAATTATTTTACAATTACCACTTTATATAGTATATGTATTTGTACATTATAAATAATTTATAAAGTGAATATAATTAAAAGTTGCAAGCTATTAGACATTTATACATTTAAGAGTGACAATTTTATGTAAAGATATAACAGTCAGGAGTAACATTTTGAGCTCCCCTTTCGCTGCCAGAGGAGTTAACTAATTAAATTAGCTTACTTAAAGCTTCGTTTTATGCAGATTTGCGCCTCTCGTTTTGTTAAGTAATGCTACCGGCATACACACTAGCGTCACTACAACCATTACAAACGCTCGTTTCGTTGGGTACAACAACCAATTGTGCCAACTACGCTGCCATTTTCGGTTTATGCGCCTCCGCACGCTTACGTATGGCTTTCATGCGTTGTTTGCCATAGGAACGCATGAAGACCGCAAAGAACACAACCAATATACCGAAAATACCCAGTACCGATATTTTGTGTTTGTAGATTAAACACGACAGCAATATAGCAAAGGCCTGAAATAAACAAAGAGAATAAATTAAATAATTTATGTGTTGATCCAGTTGTTTATTTGTATGATTAATTAAGTTATAGGCATGTGGATACAAGTTTTAGGCAGATCAATAATAAACAAGAGGAGTGCAACGTAAATAGGTCATATATTAACATATACTAGATAAATGAATATTCGCATTAGATATTTAATACATATTGTAAAGAAGTTTGCTTGGGCATTATATGTGTATGGGTTGATTTTTGACTTTAGGAATTATAAATTTATTCAAAAATGTATCTGTTGTTGGTTTTTACAATAACAATAATTAGGATAAAAAATAAATGCTAGCAGCAATTAAGAAATACACTGTTCAATTTTCCTGAAGCCAAGCATATTAACCGCAGCGCAGTTCACACAAAAAGGAATATATAATTATTATTTGGTAATATTCACCCACATTTTTCTGTTAAAATTACATATTACATGCGACGTAAACACATATTTGTATGTATGTATGCATATATTTAATATTTGCTGACAAACTAAAAGTACTGGAAAAAAATATTTGTATATTTTATAACTTACTTACAAAGCCATCAAATTGTAATTTTCAGCATTGCGTTTACACCCAACTGTACAAATTAGCTCAATATAAGTTTACTTAAGCTCATGCAAACGTTGCATGCACATGTTTGTCTCACCGTGTTTATCACTTTTTAACGGTTCACATGTAGACCAACTCACCTGTCGTAATGTCATGATGATCGTAAATACAACTGCACCAAACACTGATATTGTATAAAAAATAAATAATTGACCCACTGCCGAGCACATGGATATTGTGAGTGCATCAATTATGAATTTGGGATGCTGCAATTGTTGTAACATTAAAAAGAAATATAAATTATTATTACTTAGTAATTTTATGCGCTTACCTCACTGGCAAACGCCAGGGAATCCATGAAACCGCCTTGTACCCATAACGATGTCGCTGTAAATATGGTGGAGAAGAGATTCACACCAGCCATCATTTGCAGTGATGACATTTCATAGTTTTTGAATAGATCATCCTGCCAATTTGCTGTGAAGCTGTCACAAGTTAAGTACATGGTGAGCAGAAAAATGCCCGTGAATGTGGTCACGCTGCTTGCCTTGGTGCCACTTGCCGAACCGGTCATGAAAAATATCATTCCTAATGATATCAATATAGCTGACACGTATTCATACCAATCGTATTTGTTTTTTGATATTATTTTACCCATTAACATCACAGGTATGATTTTGCATGCTTTCGCCAGCACTTGCGTGGGAAAACTCACAAATTTGAGGGCTTCATATTGGAACCAAGCACTCATTATATTCGAGAAAGATGCAAATGAGTACTTATAGAGTGGTGTACAATGACGACCGGCTGGACGTTTAATGCGTAAAGTGACCATAGCACATGTAAACGCAGATAAACGATTGCAAAAGACAAGAAATTGTGAGTCTTTGAAATGTGATGGTTGACCATCGGAATTGAAATATTGTTGTGTCATGATTTTTTCCTGCAGCACACCCCACGTTAGATATGAGATCATAAGCCCACCAAAACACCAGCCTAGCAGCAAAGTCTCTTGAGATTTCGTACGGGTTTTTGCACCATTTGTGGTTGGCAATGGTTCCATTGGTTTGCGTTCCATGGATTCGGAGTAGTCGAGCTCAGTACCGGGAGTGCCAGTGATGCACATGCTGACCGCTGTGTATATGCAAGTTTTCTCTGTACGAGTATAAATAACAAATATGATCTATGCCTGCTAAGATTTTTTAAGTATCGAATTAATTTACCACTCCGTTCCAAGTATTTTGTGCTTCCAACATATTTATAAATAAGATAACCAGGTACAAAAACACAACTATAGCCAAAACAATTGGCCAACAGTTTCAACAACCAAGAATACTCCTTATTGGAATGGGATTCCACGAGCTGTGAGAGTGTCGCATGTGTGTAGTAGCCGCCTAAAGAGAGGCGCAAAATGTCTGAAAAGAAGTGTATCACCAGCAGCGCGGTAATAACAAAACCGCTACATGGTTACAATCAGAGGAAATAAAGCCATAGTTATTCAAATTATTTAACAATATAAGTTATTAAGTACTCACCAAATTACGACATCTGGAACCATTTTCGCCATGGTAATATTTTATACTATGCCTAGCTACAATGCTATAAAATTTCTTGTAAAATTTTGACACGTCAATGGCGTGCGCACAGTCTTTGCTTCAAAAGTTTATGCGGTACCTATTGCTTCCGATGGCATTCACACTTACAACTGTTTTGTATGTCCTAACTATACAGGTACTTTTTCGTAACATAATCGCTGACTTTGAGATTTGCGGTTCATACGATCAGTGGATTCTTGTATGCCTCTTACTATTAGGCAGCCATCTATTCGTAGTATTGGTGTACTATAAAAAGAAAAATGCCGGCGGCGCTTATACCAATAGCTCTAAGATCGCATATATTCGCCCGTTCGAAAAGATCAACAGCTTTCTTTGATATCTCAATGTTCAAGAGTTCATTGCCCTTAATACACCACAACTGGTTTCGCGAATATGATAAATATTAGTAATAATTAAAATATGCCAATACTATACTAGTATTTATCTTGCCACAACAGTGTATCACCACAGAATTATAAATATTTATGACTGAAAATCTTCACAGCTACATATAAGATCTCACACAAACTCAGTGTAGTGAATTTGTTATGCAAAATTAATCCATATGTGTCTACCTGATGATATTGCTGTTGTTGCTACAAACGCCAACTTTGAAGTATACGCAATATTGCTGTGTAGAACATTTTTAAGGGGGGAAATGAATGGCTCCGCACTCCAAACGAAGGGGGAGCTAAAAAATGTTTTCTTTTTATATCTGACAATTTAGCACAAACAGCTGTTTGTAAACATAACAATATGCATTGTGCAACAACCTACAAGGTTGCATTTCATATATTATATTCTCATAAATATAAATTAAAGATTGAATTGAAGAAATCGTTACAGTTATCAGTTTTATGGTAATCGTTAATAACAGTAGGGAGATATAAATATTAAATCACCAACTTTTACTACAGTTTACAATATTTTTTTACCTTACATATTACAATCTGTCAACTATTCCTTAATATGCATAACACGGAGGGTACTTGTTAAAACGACTTAACATTTTTTGAGCTATTATTTAAATGAGATTTTCCCAGAAATTCAAACATATTATTATTAAATAAATAAATTTATTTACTTGTCATATTAAAATAAATATTATGTTTTCATTTAATAAGTGATTTTTTCTTTGAATTTTTTTCAAATAATAGTCTTTTATGTAAAGGCTTGGCAACTCTATGTGCTGAATTTCTTTTCGATATTCGCTGAATGTCTGTATAAAGTCGCCATTTTTTCTTGCGAACATTCTCTATCATCAATTCTTGTGAAATCTGTGAAGAAATACTAGTTAATAGAAATAAAATCATTTAAATACCCAAAAATCATACAAAACTAAATGTTAATTTTCAAAGTATATTTGCGAATTTACAACTACGTTTAAAAAATTCTCCGAAAGAATTTGGCTTCCTTAGCCAGTATAAATTTGCTGCTTTGTTCACCGCAGTACATCAATCAATAAAGTGGAAGAAAAGCTGTGAGATAAACATTAATATTTCACATCAACGCAAATTTAAAATGTAAGATTTAAATTATATATATATTTTTTTAATACCGTCCGAAATTTCAATAAATTTGTTGATATTGTGTAGACGCCATTTTGTAGAAAATGGCCTTGAGGATTTTTGGAACAATACATTCAAAATATATGTAACTACATTAGGCCAGGGTAGTTTACGTCATCTAATAACTCATCTATTTTGTATACCTATGTTTATACAAATTTTAATTATTTGGAGATTTTAAAAATTTATACAAAAGTGGCCTTGTTTTTTTTTTTTTTATAAATTTTTGGGCCAAAATCGCGGTGTTTATTATTAAATTATCCCGAACTAATGTATATAAATATGTATTTAGTACAAAGGCAGTAGTCATCTGCAATTACGGAAATATCTATTTTTAACTATATGCATACATACAATTTAATTATATTTTCAGAAAAATTAGTACTGTATCAAACATATTTATGCAGGTAAAAACATTTTAAAATTCATAGCAATAAGGGTAAAAAGTGGTGGATTAGCCATTTAAAGGGATTTCATTATTAAATTGAATTGAATTGAATTTCTTAAAGATTGTGCATTATTAGCTAATTAGTGAACAGGTAGATAATATTTAAGAAACAGCAGTATTACAATCATTGAGTTCTTTGTCTATAAATACTAAAAATTTCTTTTGATTTATTTCAGTTTCAAACAAATATTGCTACAGTTAAGTCAATGCGATATAAGTTCCCGTGAATAATCATAATAAAATTTCATCAAAGTTATAAAGTAAACAATTTAAAAGTTTTATCTTCAATAATGTCGGCATCAATAAGCAAAATTCATGTCACCAGCTCGACTGGTTTGTCATTGAATGAACGTTTTACGGCAGTGCAGGATCGCCGCCGTGAAGTGCCAGAACGCGTTTTGCGACCTACTCGCGACACATCTGTCGCAAATCGTCGTCTATTGCAGCAGCTAGCTAGAAGACATAAAATGCAAGCAGCACTTAAATTGAAACGCGTACGTAAATGGTCAAAATTTATAGTCATTTGATGGGAACATTCAGCAAAGTGGTTGGCTAAAAGTACAATTTTGTATTATACATTTGTGCACAGAAATTGAATGGTTTATACACAGATGTGCAGTGTTACAGCTTCGAAACTTCTATAAATATTTATCGAAAAAGAAATGTTGCAAATACAGTGCATTCCTAAAAGTGTACTTTTAAACACCCAATTCTATATTATGTTTGCGACTAGCATGTCGTACGTACGAGCATGCTATATTTGATGTAGGAAAAGGTGAAATACATAAGATAACATGTGTCAACATGGGAAAACATCATTTGGCGTTTGAGGGGAATGGATAAAAAACATTACGCAGTAATAGAAACATAATTAATCGTCATATTTGAAAAAAAGGAAAATCGGCATTTGATGAAGGAAAGGATATGTGGTACAGTAGGATATATCATACGGTCAGCTTTTGACGGGAATGAGTAATGCGTCATTGGAGATGTTACTAATTATTCAATCAGTCTAACTGAATTATGGCAATTTACGCCCAAGTAAATTATATTTGGAAGATACCATACCAAATTCTCCATTTTTTCACACTGACCTTGTGAAAGTGTTTGTCAATTCAGCGTCTAGTTATTGTGTATAAATAAGGACATATAGAACAAAGAAATCGCTACGTCTAGGAGCTATGTAACCGGAAACCATACCATACCATATATGCATCGTTATTTAAACCTTTTAGAAATGTGTCACTCTGTTTCTACAATAACAAGGATTGCAGATTGCTTCTGATACAAGACATCAACCAGATGAGGTCATCTCAAATTACATGCCGTTGGACAACGAATGAGTGATAATAATTCTACAACAAAATCTTTTCGAACCTTACGTTTGGAGTTATTTGACCACACATCCCCCAGTATTTTTACTAACATAAATCAATCGTTTGGAATTTTCCTTTTTGAACACAAACATTTTAATTAAGCTACTCTTACACATAATCGTCACACATCAACTTATTGTAATCAGTTATAGAATTGGGTGATAGAACCGAAATGTTTGAACCTGCAAGCTACTCTACAATATTTAGTGCTCGCTATAACAAAGCGTTAGCCAAAAAACAGCCAACCAATATTGCTTAATTAAAGTCATGTAGACGTAAACGGAACCCCCTAAACGAATCCACGTTTAATTTTGAAAATTTCTTCTAATTCACACCCTGTGTGGATATTACAGAGAAGCATGCGACCAATTGGAGGAACTGTAGCTATGAGACGCGGCACTATCAAGGCCTTGCGTGTAGCAGCTAATGGAAAACCGATCCGTACCAATAGCCTGACCACCGTTGCAACGTAAGAACAAAATTTATATACATCATCTACATACATATTATATATGATCTGCAATAAGACATGCAACAGCAAGGCTATTGCATGTGTACCTGCCAAACAACAAAATGCATTAACTTAAATATTTTACCAAAAATATGGCAACAGCGAACTATACAAGAATTTTAAATATAAGCTACCATATGCATGACATTGATTCAATTCTACTTTCTTCAAACCCCCATCCAATATACAGAATGGAAGCCGATTTGATTACGAACAATCAACGCAACTTAAACAGATCCCTCCGTCGAGCGAATTCCGTTTCGAACCGTTTGGGCCGCCCACTAGTAGGCGGTGCTGCTCAGCGTATTGCCCAGCGACGTTTACAACGTGCATTGCCCGGTGCAATCATACCGCATGAAATGCAAAGGCGTGGCCGTTCACGCAGTCGTTCTAGGGCGCCCGTGGAGATTATAAATTTGACCCGTAGTCGTTCACGCAGCGTAGGACGCACGCTACCAACAGGCGTTCAAGTTCGTGGTCGTTCTCGCTCACGTGTACGTTCACGCAGTCGTGTCAATGCTGTTTCTAGAAATAATATACCAGTAAAAGCCCGCTTGGGTGTCCGTCCTGGAGCTATTGCTGGCCGTCGTCGTAGCCAAAGTGCTGTACGCGGCGTAGCACAAGGACGCATACAGCGTCGACGCAATTCTAATGTTGCTGCTGGAGCTGCTGGACGTACAGCTAACGCTGGGCGCCAACGGGGAAGGTAAATTACAAGCATATATTAACCATAAGAATATCAATAAATAGTGTTTGGTATATAAATAATTAAATTTTATCTTTTTTACTTCCAGAACAATGACTAGAAACGCAAACGCCATAGTAAACACGGCTGGCCGCTCACGTTCGCGCACACGTAATGGCGTACAGGCACGCGCTCAATCACGTGCACGTTCACGTACTCGTGGGGGATCTGTTGTGGGTCAGCGCAATGTAGGATCGGCTCAAGCTGGTCGCATACGTGGCCGTAGTCAACAACGGCGTGGAGGACGTGGTGCAATAGCACAAAGAAATGGTAAAACTAATGGTAATAAGAATGGACAGCAACAACAACAACAGCAGCAGCGACGTGGTCGCAGTCGCAGCCGTGGTGGACGCGGTGGCCGCAATCAAGGTAAAAACTAACCAAGGCGTGTTATAAATGCACACGCTACGCCTGGAACTGCGGTAATCAAGGTGGAAAATGCGACAGCAAATGTTGCTTAAAATTGGACGTGATCGTACAGTTTTTTACGTTACTAACTTTTATTTTTTTTAGGTAAGACTGCTAAGCCAGAGGTTGATAAGGATAAGCTCGACAAGGAGCTGGACCAATATATGGCGACAACAAGAACTGAGAACACTGACTTTCTGCTAAGGAATTAGGTCACTTAGTATAGCAGCATAACCACCGTGAAATACATAATAGTTTAGTTTAAACATATTAATATTTATTATTTTACATAAAGAAATTAGATTTTTTTTTAATATATAAAACTCAATGTTCAACTCTTCTTAGTTAAGTTAATGCAGTGAAAACTGCCTAATCAAACCTATGTATATAAATAAAAGTAATTTATATTAAGATCTTAATTAAGTCTGGCATAACAATTTTGTAAAATCCTTTATTATCTCAAAGAATACTTGAATTTGATGTACTTTATTGTTGCCAATATCTAATAAATAATAAGCAGCTAAAAATATTACTGATTGTGTTTCTTAACAATGTAAAAAAAAATATAAGAAAAATGGTTGAACGCTGAAGTACTCTTTTCAGCCTTTACAGAAAGGTCATGATTTTACTTTTGAACCAGCCGTTTTTTATGAACAATTTCTTCGGAAAGTTTTCTATTTTTAAGCAATTCTGCTCAAATCTAAGCATTTCTTATTGCTGCTACAGTTCAAATGTCGTAAATGGTATATAAGCCACTGTGAATGGCCACACCTCACATACATACATGAATGCGTATGTATGCAAACATTTGATTACCCTTGACCTCCTGCAACATCCTACTTCGAGCGGTATATGCCGGCATAAATGTGTAACAATGTCGTTATTGAAGGAAAATATGGGGTATACACCTCCAAATTAACTATCCTGCTTGGCGTATAAAAACCATGAAGGTACAAACATATCCATTTTCGTGCGGACATATACATACATATATAATATAAGGGTGCAGTATATTAAATTTTCCCTTTTTCTATCGTTTTATTATTTTTTGCCATGAAAGGGTTAAACATATTTTAAGACTTGCGTAAACGGTTTCAAATGGTGCTATAAAATGTCAAAAAGTGCAATATAATTTTTTTTCTCTTATTGAATTTTTACTGACTTACATCCAATCATACATATGTATGCGCGAAGGATAGGAAATTCATTACTTTTTCAAGGGTGCTCTTTGAGTTACAGATTTAGAAGTTATGAAGAAAAAATGTTGAATGGAATCGGAACAACAACCGGCTACCGAATGTCCTTTACACAATTCTTCACACCTCGTAGACTATGAAAGAACATTAGGGTGGTGTTGATAAATAATATTTAATACAGATATAATAACCTTCACAAATACAATGTACTCCTTACTAGGCGAGTATGTATGACAACTATATGTTATAGTGACTCGATCTGAATAATTTCTTCAGATATTTCACTGCTTCCTTGCAACCCATACCAAATTTCTTCAAGAAATATCGTCAAATGAATTTTTTTTCCTACAAGCACTTCATTGCGATCGCTGTATGCTAGTGTAATCCGATATGAACAATTCTTCAAAGATTACAGTAGTGCAAGATGCTATAGCTCATGTAAAATATTTCTATTATTTTCTATATAGTTGTATGCTATAGTGGTGCGATATCAACTGTTCCGACAAGTGAGCTTCTCGGTGAGAAAAGGATGGGTGCAAAATTTCAGATTAATATCTTAAAAACTGGGGAACTAGTTTATGCATATATAAGGAGACACACGGATAGACAGACGGACATGGCTAAATCGTATCAGCTCGTTACGCTGATTTTTCATATGCCTTATACTTTATAGTCTCCGACGTTTCTTTTTGGATGTTACAAACATCGTGGCAAACTTAATATACCCCATTCTCGGTACACAAATATTTTGCTACACACATATGTACATACTTGCATATGTATAGTAACATCAAAGTCCTACCAAACGAAGAAAGCAGTGATGTAAAAGGTGTTTGCTAGTTTTGTTTCAAATTGTAGCAATCAAGTATTTTTTTTTTTTGTTATTTAGCCCAAATGTTTTTCTCCGAAAAGTTAATCAACCTCTGTATGGATTCGTATATGAATTCACACGTGCATATATACATACATACATATGTATATAGTACGATATTATACTTGCATACACAAATTTGTGCATTTGACGTAAGAATGTTATGCGAAGGTGCAGAATTTAAGTACAAAATACCTATTCATATATAGTTTATACATACATTTATAGTATGTATGTTGTTGTGTTACGTTTTATCAAAATATCATTTCAGTAAATTTTCACAAAAAAATGTGGAACGCTTCACGATTTTGCGTGTCATCCTTGCGCAGGGGCCATGCTAATCTTCTCTGTATCGTTCCAATTTTAGTATATGTTCTGCCGAAGCAAGAACAACTCTCCATTAGAGCGCATTGTACTTATATGCTTTACTTAACGAAAAAGCATTTGCGAATTATAATACTCAAAGGCAACGAACGAACAATGTGTCAGCAGAAAAGCAAAATGTGTAACGATAGGTGGAAGAGAGAGCGAGAGAGAGCGGAAAAGAACAGTTAGTGATTGTAGGTAGAATAGGTAAATGGATTAAAAAAAGTTCAATTTACATACAAATATGTTAAAAAAATTCAATAAAATTCGATGAATATTATAAATTATTAAATTAATTATATTTATTGCTAGTAAAAGTTTGTAAGTGCATTTTCATTTAATATTTATAAAACCTAATGTTAAAAATGCAATGAAATATAATTGTGTAAAAGCAACCGACTTTGTAGAGTGGTGAATAAAAATAAGCCAATTAAGAGAAATAATGGAAATCCTCATGTGTGTTACAGGGTTCAGGGGAAAGACATGAACTGCTTTCATTTATAATATAAAGCATTTATTAGATATGCACACATATGTATATATGGACACAAGTGTGGCGTAAAAAGTGGAATGTAGAGGCGAAAATTTGGCTTTTGAGGCTTGGAGAAGATGTAAAAAATATATTTCAACAAATTGTTAAAACAAAAATACAAATTTATAAAATATTACTAATAAAGCTGGAATAGAACAATAAATTAATTTATTTTCTTTGCAATCAAACAAACGTACAGCTGCAGTTCAATCTCTTTGCCATTTATCCGTTGTTACACAAAAAAAGTACAAACACAAACCAATGCTTAGCTACTGTGAAAAATCTAAATTCACATATAAATTCTAAATAAACAATTTTGAATATTTTAAACAAATACGCAAAGCACAATGCCTAATCTTTGTCATCAATCTTCAATTGTGGCATTTTGGCAGCAAACAAGGCTTAAGACCTCCGAACACAATCAAATATAAACAAACAAATGCATATGTATCTACATAAATGTCTACGCATGTGGATACACAATTCACATTGTATGTATGTATGTGTGAACACGTGTTAAGACGGGTGTAGCATTTGTAAATGCAAGTGGTTAATACTTGCGTCACTCAAAGCCGCAATTGATTCTTGGTATACAAAAGTCAAAATCTTGTATTTGGTTGAAGATATATACTCACATATACCCATATATTTGAATGTTTCCTTATACAACCGCATAACTGTATTTTCTGGTGAAATATTGGCATTTTCGATTTACATTGGAATTATGGAATTGAATTTAGTAAGAAGTTTCACAGACAACTCTAACGCTCTGTGGTCGCTTGGTGTGGGCCACAGTGAGCATCTTAAACTAATAGACGCACACATACCTACATTCATATGTTCGAGGTCGATATTGGGCAATGCCTGAAAAGTTCAGCAACAAATTGCCGTTAGTTGCAAAGTTGGTTGAACGGGAGATGTTTTGCTGAAAAACGCCTGGTTATCAGCGACACTAGTTATCAATTCTTTTAATAAAGACAAAAAATATGCAAGCTCTTGAAGATTATGTGCTTCAAAAGACATTCTGCCACTCTTAACTTTTGAAGATTGCTCGTTTGTAGCAAGAGGTCTTCATTTAAATGTTCATAGTTCGTCTATACCTTAATTTGCATGAAGATCTGATTTCTTTATCTGAACAGAAAGCTTTAAGTTGCATTGGAAGTGGTGCTATAAGTCAAAAACACCTTCGGCCCCGGTTTAGATGCCCTCTTATAGAGCAGTAAGAGCGTGTATCCGTAAAATGTGCACTTTAGCTCTCATTTTTCAGCTTAAGTCGATTGACTGTCACAATGCTTTTGGATTTAGGGATGATGAGAAAATCGAAAGTGAAAACTACTGTTAGACTAATCTCCATGGATGTTGTTATAATAAATTATCGATGTTTTCGTCCACTTTTCTCGTTAAAATGACCAATGTTTTGGTTTCTGTTTGGGATGGCAAATATCGGTTGAATTATTCAATAAACTTACTTCTCTCTAGGCTGGTCCTAGTTTTTTGACAGACTTTTGGTATGATTCCATAATATATATAGGGACTTTTAGTTGATCATCAAAACGATTTTTTTTGAGAAATGAAATGCCAAGATTACTTCAAATTTCTCACGCATTTGGCTGCAACATTTTGTTTTGTACACTATCACATTCTAAATCAAATATACTTTTAGGCGCAGTAAAAATTTTTCGAGTTGAATTTATGATATACTATATACTTATATTCCTGCAAATGTGTTGGCTGAGGTATTAGCAAAACAGGTTAGCAGCTGTTTCACTATTTCATTTTAATTTCATTTGATTTATCATCCACACAAGGGTTTCTTTGTCCGAATTTGTAATTTATTCAGCATCCTTCATAGCTACTCTTCATTTCGTATGCGGTTCCCATGCTTGGTTCCACAAAGCCAGTGTATGTGTCGGTGTGTCGATGGTCACATTGAAATAAATTTTGCGGCGAAGTTGCTTAAAGTGCGGAATATTTACATATTTATGCAAATAAATACATATGTATGTTTGTTAAAAGTTCTTGCCTTTTCACTATTCTGAATTTGACACCTAGAAAATGATGTTAATTGATTTGTTTTTGAAATGAAAGAAAATTGAGCACACACAACACAAGCAAAACCATAAATCAGAATTTTAGTAGGTTGGAAAAAAAAAACGAATAGTTTACAAAGTCAAGTAGAGTGGAGTCTTTAAAAGGTAAATACTATTATATTTGAATTTATCATACATTTGTAATCATTTTACTAAGATAAATACCTTATTATAGGAATTGTTTTTAGAGTGGTGGAGTGGTAGCTGTCAAATGTGCTGTCAAGTGACAAATGTCAAACATTGCAGCTGATTAGACAGTTATTGTTCTAGACAATTTGATTTCTCTGTACGCCTTTATATATTTATTTTAAATATTAAGATCAGCAGCGCTTAGAAATGTATTTCAAAACTCGGGTTCCTATCAGGCTTTTCAGGAGCTAGAAAAATGTCTTTCATAGAAAGCATGTAAACTTCTATATATTCCATTGTATTTAAAAAGCAGACACCAGACAATTTTTTAACGAATAAAGAACG